TCTTTGACTCTCTTTCTATCGGCACCCAACGAATATTTGCCAGTGCTATACAATACTGCTGTGTGAACCCTTCCGCGACCAAGGATACATCCTTGGCGCCGTTCCTGAGTCTCGTTTACACAATGTCTCTCTGAAACCGATCAAGCTCAGCCCTGACTTTCAGTTTTTTAGTGTTTTTATTATAGTCAAGTTACAAACATATTTTAAACATCTGAGGCTGGGGGAGGAGGGGCCAGAAACATGTTTCCACGCAGCCTTCGACGTAGCATGACACCGGAACTCACCCGGCGCGTGGCTGGTATTCTTGGTCTATTTTACTTTCAGGCATGCGACTTTGACCGTGGCGAACTATTTCCTTAAACATTGGAAGCTTAATGTCTCAGCATCGGTTGGTCTCTGCCGGGTAGCGGCATCGCAGCCAGAGACGCAGTGTTTCACGGGAAGGGGAGAGAAACAAAGGCTGAGAGAAAAAGGCTGACGACCGGGTGGACGTTACCTGTTCTCCAACAGATAAACACAAAACCTTTCTTTTTCTTTTTCTTTTCTTCTTCCCACCCCCTCTCCTATTAGACTAGGTATACCAAAAGACCATTTAAGTCCATAATCTCAAACCCCAAACCCCAAACCCTCCCCTCCCCCCCTTTTTCGGCGATAGCGGAGCTCCGTGGCCGTGGCCGTGGCCGTGGCCGTGGCTGTTGCTCCTCCTTCCCGGTACGGACTTGGGCGGTTGAAACAACAGGAATCTGTCCAGAACCGGGTCGTTGCTTGTGAGGCCGAGTCACAAACGTTCGGTCGAACGGCCATGTCGCGAAAGGGCGAGGACATGAGGCAGGCTTTAACCTTGTTCTGGTGTGTGTGTGTCCGAACTTGTCTCGTTTGTCTCAAAATAAGAAGCTGTAGAGGGGCAGAAGCTTTGGCTCACGCCACAGAGAAAAGCGCAAACTCTCTTGGGTTACCGGTAAACCTCTTACCAATGGGTGTATCGTTCCGTCTCGCCTCCCTAACCCTCGCCCCCCCCACCCCCTCTCCATCTCTTCTCCTAGACCTTTTTTTTTTTTTTTTTTTTTTTTTTGCTTCGTGACACTGACTTTTCAAATGGGAATTACTCGCGGAGTGCGGCGTGGTCGGTCGTACCATGAAGAATAGGTGCGTGCCGAGAAAGCGAGAAGAGGCACACTACATATTCGTCCCGCGCTGTGTGCGCCGCCAACGCATGAGACGTCTGAAGTCTCTCTCGGCCTTGTGCTTATCGGCGTTCGCTCTCTCTCGCGTGTGTGTGTGTGTGTGTATGCCCTCCCCGCCTTTCCAATACAGTTTTCCCGTCAGGGGCCGTGAGAGGAAACGAGACATGGACAACCCCGAAAGCCCCAGGGCCCCAAGCCAGCTGGCATTCCTGAGGGCCAAGTGCGTGCGTGCGTGCGTGGGTATCCGGTCCAAAGAGTCTCGTGTTAACTAGATCTCCTTCTGCCGCCATTCACCCTGCCTGCCTGCCTGCCTGCGACTGCCCGGCGAGAGACGGAAATCGAGACAGCAGATGGTTGCAGAGCCCGGCGTGCCCGGCCAGTTTCGGAGCTGGGCCGGTGCTATATACCGTTCCAAGAGTGGGCCGTCCTGCGTTGAAGAGCTGCTCGTTATGCGTATTGACTCGAAAGCCACATGGCTTTCGAGTCAAAGAGCAGACCAGTTACAGACGGGATGAAAAAGCTCGAACGGGAGGCATCATCCTCACCCCCCGTGGGATAAAACGTTCAACTCCACGTATTCGCCAGTCGCCACCGCTCCAGCTGCCAACCGGGCTATCTCGTTGACTGCCCCCCTTTCCGGTGACGCGGCGATGGCATTACTTGCGACGGCTTTCCCCCAGCCCTCGAAGCAGCGTGTGTTGCCTCTTTGGCTAAGACGGAATGAAACATGGTTGCGTCACAGACACACCCTCTTGGATCGTTACTTCCAGCTGCCTTCTACAGATGGTCGGTCGCCTGGTTTCGAAACCACGCCGGGGTTGTTATTTTCAGACAAGTGCCTCCGATCCCCGGGGTTTCCCCAACATCAGCGTCATCTGTTCTGGAGATTAAGCAACCCTGCCGGCCGGCTCTCCGTTCGTCCAAGACTGATCGGATGCTTGCCCGTCCTCTCTGGAGGGGAGGGGGGTCGGCTCGTGAGCTCCCGTCGTCGGATGTCGGGATCCAACGACATCCGACGACGACAAGCACCACGGGCTGCCGGCCTGCTCGGCGAGAGCATCCGCCGAACATCACCTCAGGCGGTCTTCGGTTAAGGGGGCGGTCGCTCTGGTCGATCGCTCTCTGATGTGTTTCCCTCGCAGGTTCGGACTTTCCTCCGCGCTCCGGTCCACAAGTTTGCCCCTCGAGACTTCTGCGTAGGCTGTTTTACGCCTCGCGTCAAGTCCAGGTCTTCGCTGAGGCAGTCCAACTCACAAGAGGCAGTCGAATGCTCGAACCAGTTTGACATTGAGAAGGTTATTCGTGATCTGGCGACTGGCGCGAATTCCTCGCGTGGCGGGTGGCAAAACCAACGAAAACTCGACGCCTGTCTCCCATTTCAATTTACGTAGATACAAAACATTCCTCGGACTAGCATCCAGGTCGTCCAGCTAGTCCAGGCTCGATGGTGCCGGCACTTAGGACTCGGACACGGCGTAGAGAAAGAAGTGCCTTCGCACCGGTGAGGGTACGGCGGCGAGTCCGTGACCTGCACACCCCTAATGCCAATGAAGAGATTGCTCCGCTTATGCTGCCCCTCCGCAGCCTTCTTGCGCTCTCTCTCTCTCTTGGAAATCTGCGTCCTCACGAATCAAACACACATTTTGCCCGAACCAGCAAACCTGTCCCGTCTGCCTCGGGAGGTCCGAGCTGGGCCTCTGCATGAAGCAGTGAACAGTGGTGACCATGAGCGCAGGGCGGAACGCATCCGTAACGGAAGCAGGTATCTCTAGTAGGATGACCTCTCGTGAGTTCGCCGCACCTCACTCGGCTGTCAGTGCGGAGAGACCGCAAGACTCCCGATTGCGGCTGGGGCCGATATGTCTGCCGCCGGGGCCGACGCTTTGGCAAGGGATTGCTACGGCCGCCGCTCACGGGCCCCCCTGGACGTCGCCCAGGTGCTTCTTGACGCCGGCGCCGGCCCGAACGCCATCATCAACAACAACGGAGACTCGGTCCTGATCTGTACAGTGCCGGACGCCCCGACCTCCCGTGATTGAATTCCTCGCCGGAAAGGGCGCCGATGTGTCGGTCAGAGGCCAAGGCGGGGAGACACTCCTGCACAGTGCGGCAGCGCAATTACTTCTTGAGGGAGGGGCAGAATGGCAGAGGAGCTACGAAGTCATGGAACCTTTGGGCTCAACAGTGTTATCCAAGCCGGTGTCAGTTGTCGAGAGGAATGCCCGATAGCAAGGCCCATTCACTCTACACTCGCGAGTTTGCCGGGAGAGCAAAACAGGCCCAAGAATGTACGCAACGTATAGTACCCGCGAGTCGTTGAACCATGGAGATACAGCCTGTTTTCTCGTGTGTGCAAGCGCTCTGTGGCACGGCGCCACTCCCGCAAGGTGAAGCACACGTAGAGTGGTGGTAGGGTGTTCGCAGCCGCCCAGCAAAGGCCGTGTGCAAAGGCAATCAGAAACATAAGTATGCTTCAGGCACATTATCGGGCGAGATCATGTGGGGGCGGCCGAATAGGAATCTTGTAGGAGGGTCTCGGAGTCTCTGAGGTCGGCCCGGGAGAAATTTACATAGGGAGCACCGTGGGAGATGATGGCAAAGCCGTCTCGGCTGGTTCCGGCCCCCGTATCGACACCGGCTGAGATGCGGGCCGTAGGTTTCTTGCTTCTTTGATTACGTTTTGGCAAGAGAGAGAGAGAGAGAGAGACAGTGTCTTGAATGGTTATCTGGCGTAGCACGAGAAAGATCAATGGTTCATGCATGCCTTGTTTGGAACGCAGTTGACCGGATACGAGAGAGCGGTCTTGGAGATGAGGACAATTTCCATCGTCGAGCGAACGTATGCGTTTGACGGGCGAACCCTACGGGCGGGGGGAGAAAACACGGAACCTGAGCTTGTTGAGTCGGTTCGTCTGGCTGGGGGACTCCCAGGGTTGCTTTTGTGCATCTGATCGCTTTCAAGGCCCATCTATGTTCGACACTTTCAGCGGACAAGGATCGGTAGGTTAAGAGGAAAAAGCCAGTCTTGAAAAAATTTAAGAATCCAGCTGCTGTCTAGGGCCAATACTGGTATGGAGCCGGCATCGGACGATGTGGCTCAGAAGTCGTACGATTGTTATCCAGGGCGTCTGCGACATTTTAATATCTTCTTCCACCTATGTTGCATTATTTGGTTGCGAGCTGGAAAGATGTTCAAGTGCACTGGTCAGGTCGATGCCGAGCCAGCGGCCGAGACGCCTCACCCGACACGGGCATCTTGGAATGTAGTGTTCGCCGACGAATACGTCGACTAAAGCTGCCTGGACTGGATGGACCGTTGTATACACCCTCAACAGGCTCAGGGGCTCCGTTATTGGTTGTTGAGCCCCGACATCCATGACAGAACGCTGCAGTGCCGTACGGCTATACATGAATGCCACCGAGACCAAGAGCACCCGCCAGTGTTTCCCATCTACTAACAGTCTCTCCAGGCTACTGGAATAGCTTTACGGTTTCTTACGGGGTAGGAAATGTTAATTATTGATTATGCTGGGACGATGAGTGGCTGTTCTGCTAACAAACGGTCCGGTATGCTCTCATAGTCTTTAACTCCACACTGCCACTTTGCTCGCTCCCGCCCTTCCTAATGATTGACCTGGGCACGAGTCCTTGCTTGCCAATTGACCTTGAAGCAGTTTGCCCTCTCCCTGGGACCAACGTATCATTCGTAATTGTCATGGCGGGTCCGTGGCCGTAGTATGTGAACGAAACGCTGACCACGCTTCGGGCAGCTACAAATAGCTCTGGCTTCTATTGATGTACGGTAGATATGTAAATTCCTCACTCTCTTACTTCTCGAGACACCCCTTCAGTATCGTCAATCAAAGTGTTGGCAATTCGGCCATTATAGATTTCCAAGAAGTATGTAGAAATGAAACCTAGCTGAATGCTACAGTCAAGATATTATTCCGATGACATATTACCGTTCCCCATTAAAATTATTTAAGTTTGACTGTCAAAACGTCAAGAGGAATCCGAATTAAAACAAAACGAGCGAGGGTATCTCCAGTCCATACTCCACCCGGTCTATGGCGACCTTCCCTTTCAACGACCATTATGAAATGAATGTGCTCTCTTTTCCGTATGAAATTACGGTATTTTGTTCTTTTTTTTAAGGGTTCTTTAATCATCTGAAAGCAAGGATCGGTATCCGTCTTAGAACTGCGCCGTGTTCAAGATGTTGCCTAGACTTGCTGGGCTCCAGCAGGAGCCGCCATCGAAGGCGCGGCAGCAGAAGGCGCCGACTTCTCAGGTAAATTTCCGCCCTGAGGGACACGGCCGTACTGAGTAAAGTACAGGTTCAAAGCGTTGTAGTCCCACTTCCTGGAGAGCACCAGGAAGATGACTGCACCGAAAGGGATCATGAGGAGGTCCAGGACGCCGAAGAAGATGAAGTGGGGAGTGACGCCAATGGTGTTTCCGCCCTCGGAAATGCCAAAGGCAATGGGGTAGAGGAGCCACAGGAGATTGAAGTAGCCGGCGAGGATATAGTAGTCTCTTTGGGTGCCAACACGCTTCGCCCTGGCACTTCCCTCGCCGCAGGTGGAGGCGGCCATGACTAGATACGCGACGGTGCCGAAGACGAAGAAACCCCACTTGTAGACGGAAGGGGTGTAGGCGGACACCAGGTAGCTGATGACCCAAACCCAGGAGAGGGCAATGTGCCAAACGATTGTGGCCCACGAGGAGTTTGCGACGAGACCGAGAAGGATGTTGACGATGGGGAAAGCCACGACCCAGTTGATGTACTTGTTGAAGAAGATCTGTCGTGGGGCACCACCCGAGTCGGCCTGGGTCACAACAGACCAGCCGAGGTTGGAGGCATTGGCGAAGTAAGTGATGGCGCCGACGAGCAGGGCGATGCTCAAGAGGTAGTGGAAGATCTTCTCATGACCTCTGGGCTTGTATGACAGGGCATAGACACCAAGCTGGCGCGTGTTAGCAGAGTCGGGAGAGACGTGTTCGGAGGACGTACAAAAAAGAACGAGTAGATTGCAAAGCAAGCCCAAAGCCAATTGGAGCCATTGACGCTGAGTTCCTCATAGATACGTGGGAGCGGGTTGACGTTGAGTGCGTCGTTATCCCTCTTGAGAATTAGGCCCATGACGGCGACTATCCGGATCAAGTGTTGGTAAGATTGTGTATCTCGGAGAGGCCCAATGGACAACCAGGCAGGATTTTGCGTTGGTGGTATCGGAAAAGCTACGATAAGTTTAGCTCGTTGGAATGATTGCAGGACTATGGTACAGAACAGGTCTGTAAAAAGGAGAAGAGTATGATGGTCTTATATTTCTGAACGAGACAAGTGCCCTCTATCCAGTTCATGGCAACATTTAACCATTGGCCCGGAAGGTGATGGCACAATGTCGTAGCTGCAAGTCCGATGCCACCTTGAAGCCCGAACTCGCCGATTGCTGTTCGTGCCTCGCACGCACGGTGTAAACCTGCGATTTGACAATGAGACGGACCCTGGTACCCCTCCGCCGAGGCACACAGTGTCGTGGCCAAGGACAGATGGACGAGTTGAAAGACAGGGTGGATCACAGAAGGTTCTGTCCGTCTCGGAAACCGAAGGAACATCTCGCTGTCAGATTCTTCAAGTCAGGAGACCTACTATGTCTGGCAAAGCAAGGCGAGGCAAGGTTGGCCAGGATGTCCAGGGTAATCGTGAGCGTCAGGGGCATCATACTCTGGGTCCGCTCCCAGGGCTGCCGAAGGGCGGCACACACTGGGCCAAGATCGCATTTCTTTTGTGACTTCCCTCCAATTCGATAGCTGAGATGAAAGCGCGGCGGAGACAGGGGGAGGGGGGGTATTGTTGGGAAGCGATCGGTCGAGGATGAGATCATCAACGGCTTGCCAGGATTGGAGGTTATGTGAGCGTCAGCTCCGCCTATGCCGGAGACCATTCCGGTACATGTTCACGGGTGTATCTGGGAAGACGCTACGTGAGGAGGGTGTGGGTATCCGGTTCGGTAAGGAAGAGAGCATCAAATCATGCATCTAATCATTCTCCTCGAAAGCAGCTTCCCATTCCTTATTCCAATGAGCTCAACATGCAAAAGCCAGGCCGAGGCCGCCCGCCGGCTGGCCCTACCGGTAGTCTCGTACATCATCTCGACGCAAATATGACCGACGTGTCCCGGGATTGATGCGTTTGAGTACTGACCTCTGCTGACTGCATGCAGCGTACATATGCCCATACGCCATCCAGACGTCCTGACGATCAAACGAAGCTTGCTCACTCAACACGTAGCGGCAAATGCCGAACAACGACAAAGAAGCAAGTGCCGGCCGGGGAACATGCACAGACTCGCCGTTCGCCGACCCTCCTCCACTCGCAGCCCAACGAGGATGCAAGAAAAGGTGACCTGGCCTACCGGTAGTGGGCCGACGACGCCGCCGAATGGAGCAGTTGGTGGACGTCACCCTTGCTCCACAAAGCCGCAGAACGCCTCTGTGTGTCTCTCTCCCTCAACATCAATGCCCAAGGCTAATGTCGTAGGTCAAAGGTTGCTTCTTTATGAGTGTGAAAACGATAATGTTGACGTAATGAACGGCCGATACGTTGGCGATCTAGACACCACGTGGTGTGACTCAGAGCACTTCAGGGCCCGGCCCGGCCGAGGCCGCCATCAGACTTCCATAGGTACACTCGTCCATACGATGACTAATAACGAGGGCCGCAGCTCAATGCGTGTGTCATCACATCGGCATCCACTAACGGCTCATGCAGTATACATCGTAAGTCCTTCGAAAACGATACTCCAAGCAACGCCGCCGTCGTGTGAACTCAAGGACAAGAGAAAGGGCAAGAGAAAAAGGAGGGGAAAGGGGGAAAAAAGGGAAATGAAAACTGAACGTGCCGCTTCATTGGTTACTGCTTAAATGCCTACCTACCTCCGTCGAGCACTTATACAAGTACGGTAAAGAAGCTGGTAGAAGATGTTCCGAACCAAGGTATCCAATAGTGTTTACCGACGTACTCATCTCGTGATTTCCAGAGGCGTCTTGCGGTGGCCCCAGTCTCGAGATGGAGGGTTGATGTTCCCTTGAACCACGAAACCCGTCCTAGTCACACTGCCCACCGTCTCGTGGAGCTGGCGCGCAAGCCCACTTGAGAGATACTCCTAAACTGTCTATTATGGTAGCCCTTATGAAGCAACACCGTGCTTCATCTAGAAACATCGCAAGTCCGTGCTCTTGTCGTCCAGGGACATCCAGCAGGCTGCACTCGCGACGCTGTCGGTTACCAGTACCCTTGCTGTAAAGTGGTTCCTCACCCCCCCCTCCCCCTCCCCAAGGAGGGCGGCATCGTACCACCAGCAACATACCAAACCCTGTGCCGAGCGACCCCGGCTGTCGATCGTGATCCGGGTCGGACCCCTGTCCGTACGCCGTAGCGCCCACATCCTCACTGAACCTATAGTGGACCCCCGGCCACTACCCTATTCTTGACCTCAGTTCTTTTCCAGAGCTTACTGTTCCGACCACGATCATCGGATCACATGAGGGGTGAGCCCATCCGCCGCTTCCGGGGGACAGGCGAGGCTGGCCCGCAGGGTTCTGGTCCTCGACAATCCTTGAAGCACGTCTGGTCAACCCGTGTTTGTACTTGATTCATCATGTACTGTTGTACCGTGTACCGTATCCCTACAGCAAAAAAAAAAACCCCCAAAAAAACTCCATGTACATCTATATCATACATGCATGAGAGACCCTTTCAACCGGCAGCACCTCCCGGCTGAATCGCCGTCTAGTAACTGCTGACCTGTTTCATCTGCCACACCGCGCTCTTAGCCCGCTCCCGAACGTCCAGTTCGCAATCGTCTTCCAGCCCCTCCAGCTTGGTCAAGAAACCCAGCTTCTTCAGTTCGTACGCCCGCTGGGCACACGCTCGCGTATCGCTCTCGTCGTCCTGCCATGTGAGATTGCTGATTAGGTGGCAGAGGGCAACCCGCACCTCCTTATCCTTACTATTGAAGTGGTTCGCCAGCAACTTGAGCAAGTCCGTCTGAGCAATGATCAGCTGCCGGTGGCGCGGGATGCTAGCCGCCATGTGGACCAGGATGAAAACTACCGCCTCGATGATCTTGGCTTGTGGGTAGAGCACCCGGGCCTCGCGCGCCGACCCCGCGGATCGTCTCGACGTTGGATGGAGGACCTTGGCCTGCAGCTTCCTGGCGAGGATGTCAAAGAACCTATCCTGTCCGAGTTCTCTGAAGAGGTAATCAATCATCTCCGTGGTGTCGCTGGGCGATTCAGAGTTCGATCCAGAGCTTGCCGCCCCTATCATGTTCCGAATAAAGTCGAGACCTTGTTCCTGGATGGCGAGGTCATCGTTTCGCGCTTTTCGTAACGGGTTGATCTCAGCCTCGCGAAGAGCTGCTAGCCTGGCTTCTGCCTGTCGGAGTTTGGCCGATCGCTTGCCATCTGCGTCTTGTGGCGGCATCGTCGAGCTTATCCATGACTTGGACAACGGGTCTGCCTGGTCCATTTCGATGTCGCCGTCCATGTCGTCCCCGCTGTCCACCGCATTTTGTTTGTCCATTTTATATCTCGCGAGGAATAGTGCGTCGTCCTCCGTGTCGTCACAGATGAGCTGCACCAGCCAACCAGACCCGAGCACATCCAAGCAATGCTTCTTGGTCTCCGGGTCAACTGCGTGCACGAAATGCTTCAATGCCCAAAGGGCATTGAGGCGGAGCGCGGGATTGAGGGAATGCGCATGCTCGCACAGAATTTTCATGACACCCCGATCGGCCAGAACCTGCAATTCATCAGCTTCATTCATGCTTTTCGAGACAGGACGTCATCTTTGCACTCACCTCCCTCATGGGGCTGACCTCGGTGACCAAATTGCATATCGCAGCAGTGGCGGCAATTTGAACATCTGCGTCGGGATGTCTAAGGAACCGGAAGAGAGGGACAGCCACGGCGTAGTCCACCAATGATGTTCTGAGAATGCTTACGGACCGCGACAGCATTCTGACTGCGTGACAGCCCGCAATCAGCACCGACAATGGATTGCTGCCGTACCCGGAATTATGGTCAGATGAAGATCCATCGCCCACGGGTCCATCCGGTTCGTTAGGCTTGCTGCGGTCCTTGGGATTTGACGGCTTGCCAGGCGTAGGTGAGAGTGATTGCACAATGTGAGCGACGACATCCTGCTCCACGAAAGCCTTACGATACTCGTCCTTGCCGGCCGCCAGAGCGCCTATCGCTTTTAGGGCGCTTTCGCGCATCCTTATCCTGTGAGCTAGGAGCGGCGGCTGCCCTTCTGGCCCCAGAGCACACGAGGGAGGTGTGTCTTCCGCCTCCATGGCGTGGTCCACTTGCGGCGACCAAACCTTGGCGTACGCCGACGCTGGGATCGGCTCATACGCATCCTTGAGGAGCTTGCTATAGCATTTGACGGCTCCGCAATCGAAAGCAGCCTTTTGGAGCGGCTCGCTGTCCGTGATCATTCGAGCGAGTATTGCTGGCGTCCTCTCCAGCATTGCCCACCTCAATGCTGTATCCGCATCGACAAGGGGCGACTTGACAATGGGTGGCGCTGACTGAAGTTGGTCCAACATGTCCATGAGCACAGGGACAACCAGTAACCCAAGGCTGGCTTCTCTCAAGCACTTGATGCCGAACCCAGACCGGAAGAGCGAGGTGAGAAGGTTGGCGGCCATCAACCGTTCCATATTCTGCCGTGACCTGACCAAAACAATCAACCAAGGAATGAGAGGGCTCTCTTGCTCCTCTTCAGGCTCCCCTTCGTTACCAAACAGCTCGAACCGGGAAGCCTCCCAGACAGAAGCTGTAGAAGTGTACTTGGTCGCCGCTGAGCGAGCCCGCTCTCGCGCTTCTGAGGAACCCAAAGCAGGGAAATGCGATTGTTGGGAACCAGAGACCCGGCCTTGGTGGATAGGGACGGCAGGAAGCAGATAGTCTACGGCGCTGAGACTTTGCTGCCGTGCAAATCCCAGGCCGCTAACATCAAGAGAGTTCCAGGGAGCCCTGACTTCCTTTGATGGTGTAAACTTCATAGCGGGAAAGATGGCCATGATCGCTGGGGAGCACAGCAACATGCAAGCCCTGAACCGAGAGTCTGAGATTATGGTGGCCAGTGCCTCCAAGATCGGGGCCAGAGTAGAGCTTGACGGCGAGGGCTCCGGTATGAAGTCCGACATCCGATCCACGCGGCCGAGCACCTCGGCGTACGGGATGACATGCCCTAGGGCGACGGCGATGCTCGCCAGCCGCGTTGCGAGTGAATCGAGCACACCTTGGCTTGCCATGGCGAGTTGATGCCTCTCGTCCCGACATGACTGACTGATTATGTTCGCTACCAATATGACTTGTGTTTGTTGGTCGGACGTGTTAGATGTACTAGATAATATGTTGTTGAAGGAATCGATGTGCTCAGAAGCAAAGATGGCTTCGGCCAAAGCCTGCGTGTCCACCGGAGAGGTCGGCTGCGCCAGAGCAGCGGCTTCGATGATGTTGAGTAGAACGCGTAGAGCAGCCGTAACGAGCAAGGGGGCGTTCGAGACGGGGCAAATGTTGTCTAGCACAGCTGGCAGGGCCCCGGCAGCGAGAAGAGGCTCAACAAAGGCGGTGCCACCTGGAACAGACCTCAGTCAGTACGCGACCTGGGAACCATGGCAGCGAGATGAAGACATACCGTTGGCGAAGCTCGCCAGCAGCTGGAGCGCCTGAAGTCTCACATTCTCCTCCTCGCTCACCCATCGGGGGCTGGCACTGGGCCGAGTGTCCTTGCCGTTGACCTTGGCTGGCGATCGGGCAGCATTGAGTATCTGGACGATGGGTTTCAGGGCGCCCAGCCCAGCCCACATCTCCTTCTTCTGTGCATGCCCGACGATATCGTTCTTAAGCGCCCGCAGCGCACCCGTCTGCTCGGCGTAGCTCCTTGCACTCAATAGTTGCGAAAGAATCGGGGAATTCGACGAGCGCGTCATGGCGGAAGATTCGACGGGCGGCTTGATATGGTATGTAGAGGGGAGCTTCCGTTGTCTGCTATCGTCTTTCGGCCACGGCGTCATGTGCTTGCAAGGGCGAGGTGGTGCAGCTGCGGCAATGGATCTTGCGGGCGTCAGAGGTCAAGGTCCATGCAAACGGTCAATGAGAGAGCAAATGTGGGCTGTGCTCCGTGGACAGGCGTGGCCAGGCGTTTCCCAAACGCGTGTGGCAATACCCGAAGACCTTGATTCGTATGTGCTATCCAAGAGAGTCGAGGGGTTGGATCGAGGACCGAGGATCGTCCCTCTGGAAACAAAAGGAACCGAAGATGGATGTCGTCCACGAAATAGATCGCGGATGATCACGTCGGGACCGATGGTTTGGGCAACTGGGCGACTGGGAGACTATCGGCTGTGGAAAACCTGGGGTGAGGCACGTGCGTTCTCTATCTTATATCGCAACCCGCCGGTTTCAGGATTCTCACATGCTAAGTAAGGTAGGTAGTAGGTAGGTAGGTAGGTAGCTAGCTGAAGCTTGGGGTAGAGCGACCAGTGTCAGTGTAACAGCGCTGGATGTTAAGGAAGTTGTCGATTTAAACCATGCCATTTGCATGCAAGAGGAATCTCGCTAATCGAATTGATTATGCAAAGGTTTCTCGGACCGTGACGGGACCTCGACGTCTAGTAGAAGCTTCACCCGGTTGTATTGCACCTGCCCAGGTAAGGACCGCCATGCGGCTAAACCCCTGCTTGGCTGTCTCTGCCGTGTTGTCTCCTTCCGCCACGTCGGTCCGTACTTGTCGTGACTTATACATGGTGTACCTTGGGAAATGGAATCTTTGCCAGATAAACCGACTTACTAGTGCTTGTTCAGCTTCGTGGGCCCCTCGCTCCAAGTGCCCAATTTCTAACAACTGCTATATACATATCAACAAGTTTCTGACTGCGCCGGAAAGCGGCTAGAGCACCCGACAAATGCAGCATGGACTACCGCAAGGCCTTTGTTAAGCACGCAACTTGTGGCGGCTCGACGTGTCGTGAGCAGCTTGTTGGGCCTATTTCAATGATTAATGCCCGGGCCGTCCGTGCCGAACTAACCTAGCGAAATCTATAATATGCTGGAGGAGACAAGACACCACTGACTCTCTGAGCGGTTGGTAGCGAATCTTCATTGTGTCTGGGACATTGGCAAACAGATAAACCTTGGATGGCGGAGGGAGGAGTTTATGAAACATCACCTCTTGTTCCAGTATGTGATTGTTTAAAAACCGATCACAAGGGACCGGGCACGGCTCTAAACACCAGTGTAATCACAGGCCGCCATGCAAAGCCCAGCTCGCAGCAAAACTATACGATAAAATTGCTAGGAACAGCAAAATCAATTCTCCCGATGCGAGGGTCGAACTCGCAGCCTTCGGATGTCCTCAGCAAGGCTCGCGGAGAACCTATGGCTAAAAGTCCGACGCTCTGACCAATTGAGCTAACCGGGAAGTCAAGATTTTCGAGCTTTGCACGTCCTCTCATAGGTAGGGTGGGTGGGTAGCTAGGTGAAGCCAGCGTCGATGCCGAAAGAAAAAAAAGGCAAAAGTAGCTATCTCTAAGCCAGATAGATACCTACCGGATTCCACATCGAATAACTTTTTTAGTTGCTTCAAAGGCCTTCTAGTCAAAGTGTATTAAATAGAGAGGACCTATACTCTGCATTTACAGGACCAAGAGGATCTACGGAAGATGCTATAGAGCTAGACGTCCATTGCCAGGACATCAACTTGTCGTTGATATCTAACCAACGTGACGCCCGGGAACAACGCGAACCGAGTATCGAAAACCGAACCAGCTCGGCGACATCGGAACCACGGCGGCACTGTCATGAAGATGAGGCGTCGATTTTCTGGCGCAATAGAAGTGGCAATTGACGAATGGCCCACTAAGTTGGAGATCATGGCCAAGGGGGTATACGATAAACATAGGACAGAACATATCGCAGTAGTAGATGGCTGGCCCTCATACGGCGCCGAATGCGCCCTCGTGTATACCTGCACATTGAAGCCGAGTCAGGCGGGCGGATAGACAGAGGCAGAGCCTGAGCCGCCCCGGACGGCGCTTGCGGTCGCCGATAGGCCTCGAACCAGCCAAGACCTTGCTAGCATATGCGCAAGAGGGCACTTGGTTCGCGGAATCTCTCCAGCTAGCGGTAAAATGGTTGCAGCACCGGCCCCAGAGCAGCCTTAGCGGCATTCCTCTCGGTGTCCCAATCCAGAAGAGCGGCCCCACCCCTTCTGGGTATTGAATCGTAGGAATGAGAGGGCATGAGGGCAGGCAGCGCTGCCATCGATAACGAGATTGGACGGGCGTTCGAACAACAATGGCACCGTTCGGATGTACCCAAGAAGAGGAAGCAGCAGCCAGAGTGTCAGTGTGAAATACAGTAGTGCACTTGTATCTTCCCCATAACCTAGCTAGTAGTGTAAGACTTGGGCTCTGTGCCGAGACCGCAGAGGGCGCTCCCTCATCCCTTGCCATGTCCAACCTCATTGGCATTTGGCATATACAAACAAATGTGCATATGTCCAACCATGCTAGTCAACATCATCCATACTGGCCAGGCGGTGCATGGGTAGGGCAGCGGACTGCTCCTACGGGCACTTCCGAGATGGGTACCTAAGGAGGTAGGTGGTCAGTGTATCCGTAATTCATTCCAACTCCCTCTCCGACACTGGAGACCACCAGATCATACCTAAAGTACATAGAGTAACCATAACACATAGGTAGACATATAGGGTGGCAGGGGTAAGTTAATTACCCCTACCATCGTACAGTGACTCGTGGCGGTGTCCTTACTCGTCCCAGTCCACTTTTTTCGTTTTCTTTTTTCCCTTCTTCTGTTATTTTCCATAGCCTTGTGTTGCTACTCCCTTGCTCTGGTTACCTTTTGCTGCTGCCGCCGTCGCCGCTAGTCCATGATTGATGCCAAACTGCCGTCCAGACAGACTCTGGTCAGTCTCCGTATCTTGGCCAGGTTTTTTGCCCAAGGGCGAGGGGGTGGCAATACCGGAGTTCACGCAGTAGCGCCAGTCTGTCGCATCCATCACGTCCACCAAGTCGGCAACGAAAAGCCCCCTTTGCCGATTTTCCGCCCGTGTGCCTGTGTCAATCTGATCTCAGCTTTTTGGCAATCTGCAAATCTGGACCTTCCGACCGCCGCCTTACATCACACACCGCGTGCACCACACGCTGCACGGCCAGATCTTATCCCACCCAATCTGCCCAAATCCTCAGCTTTCTCACAGTAACTTCTCAGCTCGTCGCCGGTCCGCTCTCTCTGCCGCCTGCGAACCCACGATGCGCCCGGGACCATGTTGACAACATCTCCCGTCGTCGCCGGTTCCGCCAATGCCTCGCCCAACAGCTTCCACTATGTCCCTACGCGACCCTCCCCGCACTCGTCTCCTGCCCGGCTTTCGGCCCCTTTGCCGCGGCGGCACTCTGCCTCCAGATCTTCTCCGTCCGCCTCAATGACCTCGCCTTCCTCTCAACAACACCCGCGACGCTATGTAGCTGTCGACGCCGGTACCCAGTATTCCCCCATGGAGTCTTCGGCCCAGCAGCGCGCAGAAAATGTTCCCGCTGAAGCCACCAACGACCCGCGCGTTTCTGTGCCAGTGACGCCTGCCGAACCCCCACCAACGCCGCGTCCACAGCCGATAGACCAGTCGGCACCGCAACCGCCGCCCGGCACACAATGGAAACCACACCCGCAAGCGCAAGTCGCCGTGGCACCCGCCATCCGCGAGGCCTCGGCCGCTATTGCGTCGCCTGGCAAGCGACGAAATTCCCAGGACCCTGCCGCCGCGCAGGCGGCGAGTGCATCCACCACGGGCGAGTCGTCGTCGTTATCGTCCTCCTCGAGCGCGGCTAAGCGCCCCAAGCCCACAGCTGCCCCCCCGAAAATCTTGCCGCAGCGATACGAGTTTTGTGTCGTCGAAGATATGGTTGTCTTGATATCACACATGCTCTCCGAGCTGATCGAAACCAATGACGCGCTTGCCCTGCGTTCCGGGAGCCTGACCCGTTTCCACTCGAGGTAAGCAATGTCCTCTCCCCTCTTTGCCCTCACGCCTGTGATGCTGTAGTGCTCACCAGCCTTTTAAACAGAACCGCACCGAGCATTTCGGTTCTTGAATATCTCAACAGACTAGCAAAACATGCGACGCTGACGCCGCCTCTGCTACTATCCATGGTCTACTATATCGACCGTCTATGCGCTTTATACCCTGAATTCACCATCAATACACTCACCGTTCATCGTTTCTTGATAACGGCAGCCACTGTAGCAGCCAAAGGCTTGTCAGATCTGTTCTGGAATAACACAACGTACGCGCGGGTGGGGGGAGTGAGGGTCGCTGAGCTCAAGCTGTTGGAGCTCGAGTTTCTCTACAGGGTGGACTGGAAGATTGTTCCGAACCCCGAGATCCTTGTGGCGTACTATCGCGGCCTCGTCGAGCGCTGTCCGGGCTACGCACTGCAAGAGGAGGATGCGGTTGACGAAGCCGATGATTCCGACGTGATCGACGACGGCGGCTCGACGGAAATTTCTGATGAAGCATGCGACGACAGCGGCGACTCGCCGGACGACGCGAGCCCAGCCAAGTCGCCGCACGGCGAGGGAGCAGGCCCTTCACAGGCTGCATAAACAGCCTTCATGAGGAAGGCGTATTTTAGTGGTCATTCTAATTTTAAAAATGGGTGGGCATTACTGCCGCCTCAAGAAGCATGGTTAGACGGCGTTTGGACAGGGGGAAACGTTTTGTTTTATTCAAATATCATGAGTGACAGCGTCAACGAAATACCAGTGTTCTTCTGAAATGTTTGCAGAATACGCACCACTTGATTTGGAATATTTTGGAAATGCCATGCTTTGAGACCAATTCTTTATCTTTTGCCGAGGCGTGTTCAATAGCGAGCAGATTGACAATTCGGCTCTCCAGCCGTGGCGCGCGCGCGCACACGCACACAGGGCAATCAGCCGAGCTAATCCCGGCCTCTAGCAAGGCTACCCCATCGAGCCTCTCTGCTGTCATTCACCATTCAACGTCACAACCTCGTCCGCAACCTGTATATTCCCCTCAACAAACCTGCAGCTGAGGCCAGAGCGCGCCCGCGCGCACATATAAATCTATACACGAACGGCTTATACATTACAAAGGCATCCCGCAACCATGCGCCCGACTACCCTCCTCTCAGCGCTCTTCGTAGCGACCCTCGCCGCCGCCGAAACGCGCCTTGCAAAGGTCTACATCGAGCCCGTCTCACCCACACCGCAGACGCCTGTCCTTCTCGCTGAGGTCGAGTACGACGCCAAGGAGCCTGCCGACGCCAGTGTCACCTCATACGAGGCGCCCGACCTCGGGGCCGGCGCCAACGACACCCCGGCCCCGAAGCTCGTCCGCATCGGCGTCTTCAACCCCTCAACGTCGGAGTGGACCTCGTCCGTGTCCGTGGCGTCGACAGAGAACTTTGCCAAGGGGTACGCGCCCAACATCATACTCAACGTGGACGACGTCTCGGGGGACGTCGTGGGTGCTGGGCTCAAGGGCGTACTGATCGATGCGGGTGCGACGAGGGATTTCGGCCCGCAGGCTGTCGTGCGGGTCGGCGTGCAGGGGAAGACGCCCGAGTTGAACAAGCCGATTGTTCTGAGCCCCGAGGGTAGGAAGGTCGTCCAGGAGGAGAAGCCGTTCTGGATAAAGTATGTTGAATCCATCCTGCAAGCGTCGGCGGCCTGGGAAGTAGGGGAGGAGTTGCTAACCTTTGTGCAGGTACTGGTGGGTGATTGCCATTGTCGTGCTGATGACGGTCACGGGTGGGGGAGAAGGAAAATAGAGGAGGGCCATGACGAATACCCAATAGATGATGGTTTGCGTTCCTCACTACCGCATGAGTTTCCTTTTGGGCATCGAAGCCTGGCAGACGTATTCGCGACTCTGCCCTGTTGCACAGAAATGGTGACATTTATGGGCCAGCAGTGATCTGGGCCTGAAGAAGCTGCACACAGCACTCTATACCTGTCTCTTCGTCAATGGACACTGGAGTTGGTGTCACGTAAACGCAAATGGCCTGTCGCCAACTGTGAAGCACCTGTTCGACAAGTAGTCCCTGTTCGGTACACTATTAACGACTTCAATGCTTTCCATCTCACGGAAATAGGGCTCTCCCTGTCACTAAATCAGAATTCCTCGCCGTATGGTTAAATATGCGTTATTGCAGCGGAGTATAGTACTGAGGTACGTAGTTGGCCGCTGATTGTCTCTTGCCTGGACTCGTCTAGGATAATTTGCAGTATGGAAGCTCCCGTAGCTAGGTAGTTTACTATGGCAGGCAGGAAGGAGTGAATATGGCACGTGCACGAAGGTTCTCAGTGCGCTAGCACTATAATATACTAGCGTTGTTGCCCAGAGACACCTGCGCAGTCGCATGCACACTACAAATGCCTTGTACAGTCTAAAAAGCTGGGACCTGGACCGGGGAAGGTACGATCGAACTGATAAAACCATCGCCTGCCTGCAAGGCTTTGCCTCCACTTTCCATTCTCAACCTTCACCCACCTACACCTACCCCCAACTATCTCTCCGCCACCACAACCATCACCACTTTTTTATTTTCTGCAACAGCGTCTTACTGCCCAAGCTCATCCACACAACGCACGAACGAAGCCCAACGAAACTCGACACAATGGCCGCCGAAAACGAGAACGTCGCTGCTGGCGTTTCTGAGGAGATCAAGGAAAAGGGCAAGGCTGTTGCCGGCGAGGAGCCCATTGAGAAGAGCGACCCTATGGAGGAGGACGAGGAGTCTAGCGACGACGAGGAGAACCCCGAGGTATGTAGATAAAGTCGCCGACACCTTTTACCATTTTGCGCCGAAGCTAACGTCATCACGACAGGTCGCCGAGCCTGGTAAGACGAACCTGCCGCCTTGAACTACACTGCAATCTTGTGACTAACCCGCCGTGACTATAGTTGAGGAGGAGGATGGCATGGAGGAGATCGATCTGAACAACATCGTCGAGGGCGGCCGCCGTACCCGCGGCCGTGTCATCGACTTCGCGAAGGCTGCCGAGGAGAACCCTGCTGAGGATGAGGATGACGACGAGGACGACGACTTCCAGGCCCCCGACGATTCCAGGATGGATGAGGATTAAAGCAGCGAGCACGTCTTCTTCCTCCAGCCGCTCCACACCTTTACGTACGGTGACGGCTTCTCATCATGGCAGTCATTAGGGAAATGGCAAAAGGCACACTTTATGCGCATGCGAAGAAACACGGAAAATGGGGATTACACAAAAGTTTTGAGAGCCCAGGGCTTTAGTATCGATCTACATGCCCTACATCGTCGATGACAAGGACTTAGTGGTGGTTGGACCTGTGATTTTGAGCCGGTGGGAGTCTTGCTCTTGAACCGTATGGAGACGAGTTGTTCAGTCGTCTGATCCAGCCAGTTATTTTGGTTGCGTAGGACATCATCTGCTCTGCAGGCTGCGCTGCCTTTGATGTCACCATCTTGACTACGAGTGCCATGGAAATGAAGATTATGCAACATTGGATGGACCCTTGGTGCTTGTGCATCTAGTTGGACTGTTGACTTTTGCGGCAACCAGTGCTTAGCCGGCATTCGTGGAAGCAAACTCTCCTCGGCTCGACAGTACATAGCCATGGATCCAGACGCTGCCAGCTTAGTCGCCAATCAATGCATCATAAAGTTGCTGGAAGCAGGCACTGCCTTGGCAATGTTGTGTACGTACTTGGTCCCCTGGGAGATTTGCCGCCTCTGTGCACTGCAATATGGACAGCCAGAAACCAGTATTCCCATGTAGGTATTATTGTATTGCCAATTCTTCAGTAGTTACATGACGTTTTTATTGTATTCTGAACGCCAGGTCTCGGCTGGGAAGTGCAGGAAGGTAAGGCGAACTGAGACTGAGAATATGCAGCTCGGTTGAATGTTCTAGAACCCTGCCTTTCTACTCAGTCAGTGAACCGCGTCCGACAGCAGTACCTTTTCTGCACCGAAGATGCTTTTGGTCAGCGCCAAACCCAGTGACATCCTGTCTGTTTCCACGTCTGATTAGAAAATGTGTCTCTTTCGCGCCCAACCAATATTTTTCTTTGGGGATTCATTACCTGTTTCCGATTGGATGTCGAAACGACACGTATCCCCAAGATACTCCCGTGCCCAAAGAACGTGGCCGTGACGGCGAGGGGGGAGACTAGGAGTGTCAAAATAGACGTCCTATTTTGACAGGTACGCCCCGACGACGCACGTATTCCGGGCATTAGACTATTACCTACCTACGGAGTACTTTACGCGAGAACCTCTCCTGGTCCGCGCTTCACGTCCCAAACACCTCGTCATCCATGGGCACATACATGCTGGACGAGTATTGATTGACTTGCGTTCTGTCTTCCCTTTCCCATGCATGAAATCCGTCCCCTTTGTTTGTTCTCATTACTTATTTACCCACCCACCAACCCGTCAATCCCGACCCCTACAGCACCACCCACCCTCTCTTCGGAACAGGGGCCGGACAGACCAAGCAAAACGTCAAGAAGGTGAAAAAAAAGTAAAAAGGGGGGTTAAGGAGCCGAGCAGCACGGCCGGCCGCTAAATCAGTAGAGATCGCCCCAACCGAGATTCGACGTTTACAGCTGGCATCACCTTTTCCCTAGCACCTCAAGGCCAACCCACCCCGGCCTGCAGCAGCGCTACCGATCTTTTGAATGACAACTCGACCAGGGGGAGGGGAAGAAGTCGAAGAAGCAAAAAACCAGTTGCCTCCCAGGTGTCCGACAATCAACGAGCCCCCTTCCAAGTCACTACTAGACGTCGCTCTTTGAAGCACAGCACGGGCACTGAAGGTCATCGCCTGCATTTCTATCGTCGTCTTGAGAAAGAGCTTCGTCGCTGAAGCAGTAGCAGCGCGCGCGCCTCGACGCGACGATCTGGACACCATGTCTTCAAGGTGCGTACATCGACTCCCCACACAGCACGCATCACCGACACCCATTTCCGAGAACTGCAACCTCGCGCTTTCCACGCGAGCATGCCATTGCAAAAGACTTGGATGTCGCGAGCTCCGGCCAAGCCGGTGCCCCGAGGGGGGGGGGGGCGGACTTGAAAGGCGATGACGTCTCCGTATTGCGACCTCGTCCGCTTTCTGTCCGCCAGTTCGCTAGCGATGACTCGTTTTTTTTGCGCGATCTACCGCGGATCCCGACAAATAGGGAAAGACACCGAAGCTGACATTTTGCCCCGTTGCGCACAGATTCGGTGCCTCCTCGCTGCACCAGCGCGACTCCCGCAGCGCCCTGTTCGAGGGCTACACCGGCGACACCGGCCGCCGGCCTGTAAGCGCCTCGCCTTCAGGGCTCGGCGGTGGGTACGGATACGGATACGCGGGGAGCAGCGCCTCGCCCGCGCCGCCCTCGGGCGGGAGCTATCTTGGCGTCGATGGCAGCCGAGGATTCCGGCCTGCGACGCCGAACAAACGGTACGAAAACCCTACACTTGAAGGCGGAGGCCGATTCGGAGCCGTGGCGACGACGGCGACGGGCGAGAGAGGGGGGTGTTGGTTCGAGAGTCTGTGTGCTGACAGGTATTGGTTTACAGTGGCCAGTACAGCGACGCCGTGCTGAACGAGCTCGAGAGCCAGAACGACGCGCAGGTTGAAGGCATCATGGGCAAGGTCAAGATTCTGAAGAGTGTACGTCTCCCCCCTCCTCCCTCCTTAGACCCTATTCCTACTACGAAGGAGCTTGGTACGCGGGACAACGTTCGAAAGGCGAACTAGCCCGCTGACACGTTGCTCCGCAGATGACGGTGGCCATCGGCGACGAAATCCGCGAGTCTTCGGCGCTTGCCGAGAAGATGAACGACACATTCGACTCAACGCGCCTGCGCATCCGCGGCACCATGAACCGCATGCTGCTCATGGCCGAGCGCACCGGCGTCGGCTGGAAGGTGTGGCTCGGCTTTTTCGCGGCCGTATGCCTCATCTTCATGTACGTGTGGCTGTTCTAGACCGGGCGAGCGATTCGAAAGGGCATATCGGGATTTCGAAGACGCCGAGAGAGGGCGGCAAGGGTAGAGGGTTCGTGCTGAAGACTCGCATGACCGGGCCGACCGGAATGCTCCCAACGTGCCTGGTTGCTTGCCCGAACACAACGGTCTCAGAGGGGTCTCCGTCACGAACACCGAAGCGAAGCAGACGGGGCCGGCCGTAGTTTTGGGGGGGAGGAGGGAGGGTTGGCTATTATCGAAGCATAACCTGCAGATTGCGCCGAGGTCCTCGAGGAGTTTGTTTGTAGCACTATCCTGCATGCATGCTTGGCGTTCAAGGCGTTTTCACGTCTTTCAGCCTCCGTCTGCTGTCCTACCCTGATTGCGCCCCGTTCCTCATCTACCGACAATTGGCGTAGACCGCGAGAGGACGAGTTAGCAGGGACGACGACGACGACGACGACACGAATCGGGCGCCCCGACACGAACCGGGAGCGCGTATATTCATGGGTGGAAGACAGGAAGGAAGAGTAGGGGGGGCGTGACGTGTTTCTTATTCACTTGTCGTACTATTGGGAAGACAAAGACGAAGAAGCAGGCTTGTTTTTAATTTGTTTTTGTAGTAACGTGTATATCGTCTAATGCTACACTTTTTCGGTCCGTATAGACAGACTCCTGTGGCCCGCCTCTCGTCCATCCGTCGTCGTTTTGTGCAAAGGGGCACCGCCAAAACAAGACCTAGGTTCCGGAAGTCAAGGCGGCGCTTCTCCCCGTCAGTTTCTCGAGACCAAGGTTGACCATATCGTAGTTTGCATGCAGTACAGAAAAGGGGGTATCTTGATTCATCCCGCCCAACATCATCTCTCTCTCTCGCTCTCCCGCCCTTGTCCTGGATCCTCAACGCCTCTGCGCCCTGAAATTCGGACTGCTGTCCATCATACTGCTCCCGTCCGCAGAGAGCAGCCCGCTCAGGTCCATGCTGCTCCTCGGACCCCGCCCGCGATCGCCCGTCGGACTCGGCGGCGGCCTCAAGGGCGCGGCCCGCGGCGCGAAACTGATGTCACCCCCATCGTCGTCGTCGTCCTCCTCCTCCTCCTCGTCAGAGCTCGCCCCGGGCGCGTCGCTGCTGCTCATCATGCTCAGCCCGGCCTCGGAATCCGTGTGCTCGTACACGCCGCTCAGCTCCCCAGCCTCGGGGATCTCGTCGTCGAGGTCGGCGTCCATGTCCATGCCCAGGTCGTCGCCGCCGCCTTCACCGGGGGCGAGGAGGTCCTCCTCGTCGAGCATGTGGCCTTGGCCCGAGGCTTCGAGCTCCTCTTCCGCGCCGTACATGTCGTCTCCGTCGACGTCGCCCCTCGCCATGGCCTGTCTGAAGGCGTCGTCTGCCATGCGCATTCTCGCAGCCACAAGCCCATCACGTCTCTCGTCCTCGTCGACGGCCGTGCCGCTGTCATCTTCGTCATCCTCATCTTCTTGATCTGCGGTGTCCTCGTCGTCTTCGTCGTCAAGGATGCCGCCCTCACTGCTCGACAGCTCGTCCGCCATACTATCCTCCCCACCATCGAACCCGAAACTCTCCTCGGCGTCTGGAATCTCATCGTCCAGATCCCGCACCTCCTCTGTCCCCTCGCCCGCCTCCTCACCCTCGGCAACGTCTCCGAGCCCGTCCTGGCCCGCGGCCTCGGCCTCGGCAAGCTCCTGCGCGAGCTGTTCCCGCCTCATCGCCTCGGCGTGCTCCTCCTGCTCACGCCTCTCCTCGCGCATCTGGTGCAGGCTCTTAGGCACGCCCGGGGGCTTCAGCCACGTGCTGCCGAAATTCTGGACGTGCAGCCGGCGGCGGTCCATCTGCTGCTCGTCGGCGCGGAGGCGCGCGAGCGCCGATCGTTCTATCAGAAGCTGGCCCGCGCGGCGGGAGGAGGAGTTGTGTTGTTGCTGTTGCTGGGAGGGGCCGCCATGACTGTTGTCGCGCTGGTCGTGGGCGTCGAGGAGGGCGGCCTGAGTTACGGGGTTGCGGGAGGAGATGTACCAGATCGAGTGTGACTGCTCGCGACAGAGTTAGATGGATATGCCAGGAGGAGGGAGGGTGGAGGAGCTCACGTCTCGTGGTGTCAGATCTGGTAGGAGGCCGAACATGGCTGCTTGTCTATGCCCAATTGGTAGCTGGGCAAATCGAGGCGGTTTGGACGGTGTGACGACGCGGATTGGCGTCTCGCCGACTGTATTGGCAATTCTCCGTAGGTGTTGAGAGCTCTGCCGCGATGACGATGACCCCGCCGCAAGTGCACGTCGCGAGGTTGCAAGAGTAAACATTCAACAAAGTACGTACTCGCCGGGGTAAGGGTCTGCCCCCACATCCGCAGACGCGCAGCGCCTAGCGCGCCTAACCCATGCTGCCAACAAGAAAAAAAAAGTCACGATGCTTCACTGCGGGCGGCAGAAACGTGGTCAACCGCCATGAAATTCAACGACATGTCTCAAGCATCACAAAATCGCAGCTACGACGCCTTCGCCGCAGCGCAAGGTGTGGGTGGCCCGGAACTGTCAGCCCCCCCTCGGGAGAACAGCCCCAACCTACGGTACATACAATACTAGGACCGAATTGGCGTCCCCGCTGCCAGACTGAATGAGTCTTTTCTCTCTGGCGGACTTACGGCTTCTTCTACGGCAATGAGTGCTACCTCGCCTCAATCTCTGGCCGAAAGGAATGCACCTCTCTGGTTGTTGCCAGGGTTCGTCGAAACCGCATGGAGCCCAAGGCGAGTGACTGCGTGTCCTCGGTCCCAGGTTTACCAATTCCGTGAGGTAATGGTAAAACATGGGTCTCTGGGTGTTCTTCCGTCTCCTTTTCCCCATCTTCTCTCTCTCTGTGATTCTGCGACGTTGCCCTCGATTCGCAGCGACGAGGAGGTGAGGGACCAGTGCGCAGTCGCCCCGCGCCGCTCTCTAGTAATGTGCGGTTGTCGGGAAAAGTCGGAGCAGCGCTGACATCGGAATTGCAAGCATTGGCTGTGCTAGTGGAGGTTTCAAATATCATTATTCCGCATTGTGGAAATTCTTCCCTGCTATGGGCCGACTCGAGTGGATTCCCTCTTTTAATTACTGCCCGTTCTTATGCCGGCGCTTGTCTTTTCAGGTCCCTGCACACCGTCTGGATGGCGTGGCGTGGCATGGCATGGCATAGCGCGGCCGCTCCGATATAGGGCCCAAGGCGGCCCCCAGGGGTTACATCAGCCCGGCCCTAGTTGGGGGGAACGGCCGAGCCGATCTCGGGGGACAGCCTTGGTTAGCGCGATGGGTATGGTACACTAAGTATGCCTGCCATGCCATGCCGTACATACCCAGGTACCTATGTACGATGTAGGTAGGCTCGCTTCGTGTCCTCGCGGGAGGAAACCCCACAGAGACGTGCGAAATTCTCCCCTTTCCAGCGACATTCCTGTTGCTCAAGTCGATGGCCATAAACCCGCTAAACATGCTCGGGGCGAATGGGGCTTGTGTATTGTATAAGGTATGACAATTGACACTTGAACCATGGCCTTCGGCGCCCAGGTATGAAGTTGAAGCTGATGCACTCGGATGCAGAGATGGAGGGTTGCCTCGGGAGGACATAGGTGACCAACCGCCCGCAAGCACATCTGGTTGCAGTATGCGTCCATCTAGGTTCAAGATAGCAGGCACGTGCTGATGGGTAGGTTGAATTGCCAAAACCCTAAGCCTGGCCAAGGCAGAACAAACTTTTGTCATCAAGTTTGACTCAGACCAGGAACTTCCTTCAGGGTTTTTTTCTTTTTTTTTGTGCGCGTTGTGACAGGGCATCCTTATGCATGCTGAAGGTATCTGTGACGTAACGTAGCGTAAGTAGGTAGATGCGCGGTCCTCCGGGACGATTCATCATCGATCGTAGTACGTCTCTCGTCTGGGCGCTTCGGCAGGCTAGATGTCGGGGTGCCCCTCCCTCTCCTCTCCTCCAACCCTTCAGCTTTCCGAGAAGCTAAGAGGTCAGAAACGTCTGTGCGGCGACAGCAGCAGGGCTGTACGGATATTGAGCAAGGACCTGAGATCTTGAGCTCCTCCGGTGGGCAGGGTCGCATTTGGCATGGATCAGAGACTAGGGGGGTGTCTGGCTTGCTGAAGCAAGCTGTGCAGAGCGAGTGACGGTCTACTGTGGTTGGTCCAAGATAAGACATCTGAAGATGCAAGTCCAGTTATGATTGGTCGGATACTCCAATTTCACGTTGTCGATTTTTTTGACAACAACCCCTTCGGCGTTGGGCAACAATATTACCACCTCGCGTCTCGGAGATGTGCTCGATGGGATTGATGACATGCGACATTGCATTGGCGTACAGAATGACAAAAAACAAAAAAAAGAAGCAACAGGTCACATCCCGTGTCCGCCAGGCACACCGAAGGGCCTGCCCACCACTGGCTGGTTTCCTCGTAATGCCTGCATGTGCCTCTTCTTGAGCCTCGCTCATTACTCACCCGCCTCTCCGTGCGCCACTACCCAAGATCAGTGACGCCTCGGGCGCTTGAGTGAAAAGCAAAAGTCACCCCGGTCCCGCCTTCGGCCGCTGTGTCTAGCCATCACCACCATCACCAACTTCCGTGAATCGGAGGGTCGATAGGCAAGCAAGAGATGCATCGACCACGCCTGTTTGTGATCGACTCTCGGAAGCAGCTCGGAATGCGCGCCTTGTTTACTCCATGACGCAAGTTTGTCTACTGTCAACTGTGGCACACCCCTCGGATCTGCTAGTGTTGCTGCCGCCACTACGAATAGCGAGTGAAGAAAACCATGAGACGCTAACGACAGACTGACGTGTGGTAGTAGCCAGGCACGCTAACGAAGCACTGAAGCCTCTGAGTGGCATGTGCAAACGCAGCTTTCGAGATGCAATGAGGTTCACAACCCTCCCCTCCTCCCCCAACTTCAACACCCCCCCCAGCCACCCGCATTGGTGCTTCGAATGCCCTTGTCCTCGAAGGGTCCGGGTCCAGTTCGACTTCTTGGTGGTCTGCCAGGGGGGAGGGCCGAAAGGACAGAGGCGACATCGGCCAAGGGCTTCTTTGAAATGCAACCAGTTGATTGGTATAAGCTCAAAGCTTGCTCGTCAATGACATTAACCTTTCAGCCAGTCCGTTTCGCGAGACACGAAAAACGGCTGGGTAGCCCCTGCTCGGCCTGCATGGAGTGTGTGGGGTGCGTCTCTGCCGCTGGACTTGGCCAAAGTGTTGGGTTTCTGTATCCAAATCCTCTTACACAAGTGATTGATTGACCAAGACCACGCTTGGCTGGAAGAGGATTCGCCGGGATGGTGCGTGCTTGTACGGAGTAACCTGGGAACCATAACAGTTCGGGCCTGCCTTGCCAACAACACCCCGCGGGAAAACATGACGATGCCCTTTATTTAGGCTGGGCATGACTTTGGCAAACGAGGCGACCCTAAAACATCCAGGCCAAGCAAGCGGCGAGTAAACGGAGAAGCACAAGTAGGTACGGCGCATCCAGGGGAAGATGCAGGATACCCAAGTCCCCACTCGCCTTCCGCCTCATCTGTGCATATTATATCTATTTCCTGCTTTTTTGATCTGGATTGGGGACACTGTCATTGGCCAAGGATCTCTGGCGGAATAGAGGAGACATGCCTAGCCTCCGAAGCATGCCGTTATTTAGCGCGCGCACACACAAAGTCTAGAGAACTAGTTGCATCTGTCTTCAAAATCAGCAGTGCAGGGTCGTCAACTTTCTTGGGGTGAATCCTGTAACCCCAGCTTTGCAGGAAGGAGGCGTTTGCGGCGGCGGCCGATATCCATGTTCCCCCCCAGAAGGACCCCACAGAGCAACGTTGGCACGTCCACTGTAATGGAATATGCCAAGTCGGGGTTTCTGGAGAAGGTTGCGACGCATAGAGACGCGACTTGAGGGTATGTATTGCCTATGGTGGTAGCTAGAGGCGGAGGTTTGGTGCATGGGAGAAGCAGGTAGGCGTGGCAGCATGTATAGCGTAACCTGGAAGGTGGGAATGAATCGTCCAGGGAGGGTGTGGGTGAAGAGCGAGGCCTGAAACGGGCAACGGCTGGTAAAGATGCTTTCGTCGCCGTGTAGGAGGCCAGGAGAGAATGAGAGTATAGCCCGGTTGATCCCAGTGACCCGAGGTTGGGCGGTAGACCGATGGCGTCCTGGCGTGGCCGATGTGCGGTGTTTTCTGCCGTGTGGTTTTGGGGGTTCCGGACTCGGTCAAAGGAAGGCATGACCCCGGTCAGTGACAGCATCAAGGACGTGCCAAACAATCGAGCAGAACTGTGGAGAGGTAAGTGATGCGCTGGACCAGTCCTTTTCCCGGCCATTGCCGACTGTGTACAGGCCGCTCGAGGAAGGGGTTTCCAAGATTTATTGCAGGGCGGTAGTGCAGCAGCGCTCGTGGTAGACAAGGAGGCATGTGAAGGCTAGCAAGGTGGTGGCATGGTGGTCAAGGTAACATCCAGTGAGAGACGACAAGGGTGGATGGGGGGGGGGATTCATGGACCGAAAAACGGCGCACCGAGGAGAGCAGTCATAGCATCGAACCGGAGGCGGGGTGGAGAGGAGAGGAGGCCCTCCCCTTCTGGCATGGATGGAGTGAAGATGTGCCCGGCAGCCAAGGAGAAGTCTTTTGGTAGTAGTGTGCCCAGTGAAGTGTAAAGAGAGTCTACCTATCCGTAAGAGTCAGAGATTTGGAGGATATGAGCAGCGACGTCCAGATCGTGTCCGGGGCTAGCCAATGGGAGACGAGCGAGTTGGATTGGGCGAGATAGTGATTGGACGACGCTGTGTCTCTTGCTTCAAGTAATAGCCCCACCCAAGTCCCCGTTTTATTTTTCTCTGACAGCAGACTAATTACCTACCTACCTAGCCAGGTAGTGGAATGAAAATTCTGTGGGAGAAGCGCAAGAGACGGAGGCGGAATGTCGCAGAGAACCAATGATAAGAAAGACCGATTCGCCCGAGAGAAAGGCACAGCGCAGTAGCGCACAGACACTAACTAGGTATCATGTCGCCGTCCACGGAGGCTTCCTCGCCGATACGTACCCCCCGCTCTCTGCTGCCTGCCTGTTCCCATTCCCGTCCCATCTCTGTCACTTGCAGCCGGTACGTATCGATTCCATCCCACTTCGCTTCCTGCAGACCCCCACTGCCCTTTTCAGCCCCTCTGTAGCGGATGAGAGAAGGGGAGGGGAGAAGAGCGCGGGAGAGAAAAAGAAAAGAGAAAAAAAGAAAAGAGAGGCAAAAAAAAAAACCCCCCCAGGAAAAGGCTAAAATATAGAAAGCCAAGCTTACACCATCTCCACTTCTCGTCCTCATTTCATAAATCACCGCGAGAGGGGCTGTCCAAGGGCTGTCTGTCCCAATAGTGTATCAGCAGCAGGCAACAGGAGGCAGTGGATCAGAAATAATTAGAGCGCGTAATAGCGGCCGGTTGGTTGGTCGATCGGTCTGTCTGCTCTGATTGTAACTATTGCCACGGCCGTTTGGGTTTCTCTCTTCTTTTCTCGGACAAAGCGCCTATATCCCTAAAAAGGCTATATCCCGAAAAAGGACGTCTCTGCCGTGTTATTGTCGTCCGTCTTCCGTAGCCTCGCTCGGCTTGTGTTCCGCCAGGCTTCCGATTCTTCCAGACTCCAGTGCCCCATATCCGTTTCCCATTGTCTCCATACACAATTGTCTTATTCATCCAGATTACTCTAGCGTCCTATGGTCTGTGATTCTTCCTGAGGTGTCGTTCGGGTGGCCGGCCGCGACGGCTCTCCCCCTCCCCCTCCCACTTCCGACCACACCCCCTCCTCGTCTTGGACCCAGCGCCGATTCAGGACTGCTACTCCTCCTCCTCCTCCTCCTCCTCCCCTCGGACCATCCTCACACACACTTGGACCAGTACCACATCTTTCATAAAAGGTTGCCCGTCTCCCACCTCCCACACTTTCTCTCTTTTCCCTCTTTCTTGCGCCCTCCCACTCTTCTCGCGCGGTGCTACGACGGTAGTAAAGAAACCCTCTCGATCCCACTGCGCAACAACGTCGACCACATACGGTCCACTACAATACACAACGTTTGTCGGTAAGTGATTTACGCTCACATAGAAACGCAGACTTGGACGCCCATGTCGGTGTCCGAGGCTCGTTATGCCATCGTCCCCCCCATATTACTCCTGCCTCGCACACACATGATTTCTTCGACTGTCCAATTCCCCGGGAGGGGAAGAGAGAGAGAGAGAGAGAGAGAGCGAGACACGCGCGCTTGCGAAAATACGACACTGGAGCAGAAAGCGAGAGAAAACGAAGAAATGAGAGCGCACGAAATGCCTGAAGAGACGAGTACCGCAACCACAAACCAAGGATGCAGCACCTAAAGAGATACACCACCCAAGACGAAAACGGCGAGTTGCATGAGGCCTTATCTCCTCCGCGGGAGCAGTAGACGCAACGGCGATGGTCTCGAGATAAGCCACTACAGAAGAAGCTGCGCATTCTGGCAGCATGTCATTACAATCAATTTTGCCATTTCCGCCGCTCTCCGTTGCCAGCTCCATCTGGAACAGACGCACATTCTTTTCTGCAGAGCGCTACCCATGCACTTTTGGCTTGCGCCTACAGACCGCGGCCAACCCCACACACACACCCCAGGTCAGATGGCTGGCCCTGGTCGCAATCCCTGCGCCAGTGATGTAAGGTCGCCGCGGGAATGGGGCTTGCATTCAGTCGCCTATCAATTGGTGCCAAAACAAACACCAACACAACGTGGCGCAAAAAAAGAAGAAGAGAAGAAAAGAAAAAAAAAGTGCCTGGAGGGGTTGTCGGCCGGCAGCGGCCTAGCACGGGCGGGGATTGGCGTGTGCGCGATCATGTGCTTGTCCCACCATCTACCATACACTGGGCAGGCTTTCGGCGTCACCATTCCTGCCGGCATGCTTTGCCAACAGCTTGTCACTCATTGGCCGCCGTGGTCATTGAGGGGGAAGCACGGTCGGCACCGGCGCCGCATTCTGCACCTCTCTACAAGCTGCGATTTGCAACCCTTCATCCCGTTCTTCGCAGCTGCAGTCGGCGATAGGGAGGTGGCCTGACCTAGCTGGATTTGCTCTGTCATGTATGCTGCCTCTCATTGTCTGAGCTGCTTTTGGGACTGCTGATCGTGGCTTGCCTTCCTCTGTGCTAGCTTGTCCCTCCACTTCCGGCCTCGAATGCTTGTCGACATTCACTATTATTGCTGCCGACATTGTCATTCCCGGAGTCATCCACCGCCGCACTTCCTTGTTGCATGTGCTGTTTCTTGCTGCCTTTTTGGTTCATCGGAATACATGTCCTAGTTTCTTGGCTTTACGTACGTCGTCGCCAACCAGGGGCTTCTCTGAGAACAACACAGCAGCTTCCCCCACCAAGGGTCTCTCATTTCCCTGGCTCTACCGCTGCGACTCCACGTCACAATCCGGTTCGAGCGATTCGACAGTAGAGTTTTCACTGTTCTGGGAAATCTCCTCTGGTCCTCCGTGCGCTTCTGGCCCAGCTCAGAGCTTAATCCAAGGAAATCGCTCCCCGCACTCAAAAAAACATACTGTTCCGACAACACCCGCCACTTTCGGCTCAGTCTCTTGGTGTTTCTCAAATTCTCTCGGTCACCCGTCTCTCTCTCTCCCCATCTGCACCCTATACCGCTGGCGCAAGAGAGCTCGTGTGTTCTTTGCGACCCTTCTATTCTCCCGTCGGGCATCCACAAACACCTTGTCTACACTTTGCGTTGAACTCAATCTGACGGACACATCTCCGTTGCGCTTCATATCACTAACAAAAACCCCTCTTTGGGCTTCGTAGATCCGTACTAGAGCCATTGCTCCTACCGATCGACTACCGCCGACTGGAACAGTCACTCCCCCGTCGACCTATATTATCCCCCTCAACAACACTCAGGCTCGAATCCTCGCCTAGCATGGGCCTGCACGAGGATTTCGACGACCGACAAACCCATATTGAATCTGAGAAAGAGCAATACACTCCCTATGAGTACCAGACGGACAACAACAACTCCTGGGCGGGTGCTCTGCCGGTGAAGCAGTACGTGTGGCCCGGCTTGCTGGGAAGGACAAGAGGCGCTTGGCACTGACACATATTTACAGAGGATTGTACGATCCGAGCTTGGAGAAAGATGCATGCGGTGTCGGCTTTGCTTGGTATGCTCGGAAACCCCGGACCCCGCGTCGTGAAGACAGTTGCTGACCTCTCTCAGCCACATCAAGGGCAAGCCTAGCCACAAGATTGTCAGCGATGGTAGGCCCCGTAACATCCCAAGAGCTTGAGGACCCGGCTAACCAACCTTGCAGCGCGCAACCTCCTTTGCAACATGACCCACAGAGGTGCTGTGGGATCTGATGCACGAGACGGTGATGGCGCTGGCGTCATGACTTCGATCCCTCACAGATTCTTTGTCAAGAACTTTGAAAAGGAGGAAGGCATTAAGTTGCCCCCTCTGGGACAATATGCCACGGGAAACCTGTTCTTTAAGCCAGACGAGGAGACTCTGCAAGAGTCCAAGAGGCAGTTGGAAGACATTGCCGAATCGTTAGGCCTGCGTGTCTTGGGATGGCGAAGGCCTCCCGTTGACTCGACTCTGCTTGGTCCTGCTGCCAAGTCCCGTGAACCCATCATTATGCAGCCCTTTGTCGTGTTGATCTCCGCCTACGGCCAGGGCAACGCCCCCGAGAACGACGACCCCGAGCGATTTGATGACAGACTCTTCGAAAGACAGCTGTATGTCCTCAGAAAGCGCGCCACCCACACTATCGGTCTCCAGAACTGGTTCTACCTCTGCTCCCTCTCCAACAAGAACATTGTCTACAAGGGACAGCTGGCCCCCGTCCAAGTCTACCAGTACTACTACGACCTGGTCAATGCTGACTATGAGGCTCACTTCGCCCTTGTCCACTCCCGTTTCTCCACCAACACCTTCCCCTCCTGGGACCGTGCTCAGCCTTTGAGATGGGCCGCCCACAACGGTGAAATCAACACTCTCCGTGGAAACAAGAACTGGATGAGAGCCCGAGAGGGTGTCATGCAGTCTGATATCTTCAAGGAGGAGCTCGAGGGTCTGTACCCCATCGTTGAGGATGGTGGCTCCGACTCCGCCGCTTTCGACAACGTCCTGGAGCTGCTCACCATCAACGGTGTCTTGTCTCTGCCCGAGGCTGTCATGCTCATGGTCCCCGAGGCCTGGCAGGGCAACACTCACATGGACCCCAAGAAGGCCGCTTTCTACGAGTGGGCTGCTTGCCAGATGGAGCCTTGGGACGGTCCCGCCCTCTTCACCTTTGCCGACGGACGCTACTGCGGTGCCAACCTTGACCGTAACGGCCTGCGTCCTTGCCGTTTCTACGTCATGGATGACGACCGCATCATCTGTGCTTCCGAGGTCGGCACGATCCCCGTCGACCCCGAGAGGGTCATCCAGAAGGGCCGTCTCCAGCCCGGTCGCATGTTGCTCGTCGACACACT